GCTCAGACAGGCAGCTGGTCTAGGAGGAAGCTCAGACAGGCGGACACAGGCAGCTGGTCTGGGAAGAAGCTCAGACAGGCGGACACAGGCAGCTGGTCTAGAAGGTAGCTCAGACAGTCAGCTGGTCTAGGAGGTAGCCCAGACAGGCGGACACAGGCAGCTGGTCTAGGAGGTAGCTCAGACAGACAGCTGGTCTAGGAGGTAGCTTAGACAGACAGCTGGTCTAGGAGGTAGCTCAGACAGACAGCTGGTCTAGGAGGTAGCTCAGACAGACAGCTGGTCTATGAGGTAGCTCAGACAGGCGGACATAGACAGCTGGTCTAGGAGGTAGCTCAGACAGGCGGACACAGACAGCTGGTCTAGGAGGTAGCTCAGACAGGCGGACACACACAGGTGGTCTAAGAGGTAGCTCAGACAGGCGGACACAGACAGCTGGTCTAGGAGGTAGCTCAGACAGGCGGACACAGACAGCTGGTCTTGGAGGTAGTTCAGACAGGCGGACACAGGCAGCTGGTCTAGGAGGTAGCTCAGACAGGCGGACACAGACAGCTGGTCTAGGAGGTAGCTCAGACAGGCGGACACAGACAGCTGGTCTAGGAGGTAGCTCAGACAGGCGGACACAGGCAGCTGGTCTAGGAGGTAGCTCAGACAGGCGGACACAGGCAGCTGGTCTAGGAGGTAGCTCAGACAGACAGCTGGTCTAGGAGGTAGCTCAGACAGACAGCTGGTCTAGGAGGTAGCTCAGACAGACAGCTGGTCTAGGAGGTAGCTAGACAGACAGCTGGTCTAGGAGGTAGCTCAGACAGACAGCTGGTCTAGGAGGTAGCTCAGACAGGCGGACAAAGACAGCTGGTCTAGGAGGTAGCTCAGACAGGCAGCTGGTCTAGGAGGTAGCTCAGACAGGCAGCTGGTCTAGGAGGTAGCTCAGACAGGCAGCTGGTCTAGGAGGTAGCTCAGACAGGCAGCTGGTCTAGGAGGTAGCTCAGACAGGCAGCTGGTCTAGGAGGTATCTCAGACAGACAGCTGGTCTAGGAGGTAGCTCAGACAGACCGCTGGTCTAGGAGGTAGCTCAGACAGGCAGCTGGTCTAGGAGGTAGCTCAGACAGGCAGCTGGTCTAGAAGGTAGCTCAGACAGGCAGCTGGTCTAGGATGTAGCTCAGACAGACAGCTGGTCTAGGATGTAGCTCAGACAGACAGCTGGTCTAGGAGGTAGCTCAGACAGGCGGACAAAGACAGCTGGTCTAGGAGGTAGCTCAGACAGGCGGACACAGACAGCTGGTCTAGGAGGTAGCTCAGACAGACAGCTTGTCTAGTAGGTAGCTCAGACAGGCGGACACAGACAGCTGGTCTAGGAGGAAGCTCAGACAGGCGGACACAGACAGCTGGTCTAGGAGGTAGCTCAGACAGGCGGACACAGACAGCTGGTCTAGGGGGTAGCTCAGACAGGCGTACACAGACAGCTGGTCTAGGAGGAAGCTCAGACAGGCGGATACAGGCAGCTGGTCTAGGAAGAAGCTCAGACAGGCGGACTAACACGACACTGCTCTTCTAATCCGGCAGCTGATGCAGCATGCTTGTCTACAAATGTTTTCATGGTATCTTTACTATTGAGTTAAGGCATTGTGCTCGGAGTACAGGAACAAATGGTGCATACATTCCATCACCTCATTTTGAATAGCTTTAAACAGAGAAAAAAGAGAGCATTGCCAGTGACACTCACCCTGACCATGGGTAGCGATTTCTCTGCCTCTCTATAGCTCTTTATAAAACTATCGTCTGTAAAGACGGAAAGGTGCCAACAATCGACACATCAGGGAATGGGATAACTAGACTTCAGATCTGAAGGTATTGGTTTTTAATCAGCATCCACACGACCACCCAATCCAAAAATGTGTCGTGGTTTTGTCGTCTTACTGATACCAGGTTGTAGCCCAGTGTCGTGGTTTTGTCGTCTTACTGATACCAGGTTGTGGCCCAGTGTCGGGGTTTTGTCGTCTTACTGATACCAGGTTGTGGCCCAGTGTCGGGGTTTTGTCGTCTTACTGATACCAGGTTGTAGTCCAGTGTCGGGGTTTTGTCGTCTTACTGATACCAGGTTGTGGCCCAGTGTCGGGGTTTTGTCGTCTTACTGATACCAGGTTGTGGCCCAGTGTCGGGGTTTTGTCGTCTTACTGATACCAGGTTGTAGCCAAGTGTCGTGGTTTTCTGTATTTGTCTTGTGCTTTTCGGGTGGCATGGGTGATGGATTTGTTCACCTTTTTGCAAATTTCTACTACATCATTGATCGACATCTTTTTTGGTCTTCCTCTCGCCTTCTTCTCAGAAGTTCTGCTGTAAAAAGTGTCTTACGTGTATTCAATATTAGAAACATTAGAAATCAGTTACACCACTGCCGGCTTGCTAAGCCCGTCGCGTGTTGAGTGGGACGAAATCTGACACCTGAAAGAGACCTCTGCTAAATTCTACATTTTGACAGATAAAATCAGTAACAGAAAGACTTGCCAAAGTACCGAAGGTTCTCCAGGAGTAAGACACTTCCACAGGTGGCGTTAATGCACTTATTTTCTACACGATCGCCGACACAGTCGTCCAGGAATGTGACTGGTATGCCCAATCTCTTCTCCAACACATCGGCCACAGGTCTCAGAGACAAGCACTTGTCTATCCGACCTCCGGGCTTTCCCAGATGACTTATTAGTACTACACTTCTAGCACCTGTCAAAGTGTACAAGCCTTCATTAAATAATTAACAACAACAACCATATAATGTAAAACTTTGTAGATTTAAATCTAAATAATTAAAAGTTGGTATGTGTTGACCAATGGCAGAGTCCTAAGATATTTTGAAGCACTCATAGTTAATTACGTTAGTACTCATTTGTGTAACCAAAAAAGACATGATTGTGAACCTGCGATGGTCCTAGTAAAACAGGCAGTTCCTTTTTGTGTTTTGTATTTCAGCTGTAGAGGATTTTTGGGTTTGCTTCATTTTTGTTTAATTGTTACTGTGCTTTTACTGTAGCAGGTACCCAAAGAGATATCGCGAAATATGTCGGGCAATAAATTGTCAGAGATGTTCATTGTTTCAGCTTTTTTGAGGTATTTACCCACTTGCAGAAATATGTAGAGATGTGCGTATAGAGATGTGTGTATAGAGATGTGCGTATAGATATGTGCGTATAGAGATGTGCGTATAGATATGTGCGTATAGAGGTGTGCGTATAGAGGTGTGCGTGTCTCTGAATCAATCTAACGTCCATTTTCACAATTAAAATTGACTACAATTGATCTTCAAATGTACGTCCTGTGATGTCCCTTTTGTCTTTTTTTTTTAACTATATCCCATTCCTGACTGCAAGCGTCTACTGCAAGCGTCGACTGCAAGCGTCTACTGCCTATTGCTACCGTACCTTCAAAGTTGGCCTTCAGTAAACAGACAAAACAAAGAACCTTGTGGCTGTATCATTGTCACTGAGATTCCCTGCCAAAAAAGTGCTCTGTGTTCAATGGCCAATGGGATTCCCCGACCCCTTTTGGTGCAACGATCTTACTAAAGGGTTTCCCAACAGTGGACACATCCCGAGCATTACGTGTAACATAACCAGAAACACCAATAGTTTGTCTGTCTGTATATGTTCGTTATATACAAGGAGACTGCAAGAGGCCGGAAAGCCGGCGAGAGACCTAGTTTCTTTCATGCAGGCTGTGATGAGAACGAGGTTCTGTACAGGACTTGCTACATGATGATGATGATAATGATGACGATGATAATGATGATGATATTAGAACCAGCATTACAGACCAGTGTGCTGGTTATTTGACATTTGCTTCATCAATATATATTTCCTAAACTGTTTTGGGATACTAAAATATCTAGATTCATTTAGCTTTTTCCCGTATGTCATTCGTGTGTTCACATGGAATGTCCAACTATAAAGAGGCCGATAGAAAAACAACAACATTGGTTGGGACTTCTCTGGGAGGCGCAAAGGAGTGCAACAGTGTTTAAGTGTGTAATAATAATGTGCTGAATCGGCAAATAAATAAAAAAATAATGTTGTTAAACAATATGAAAAGCATTTAAAAATACTTAAAAAAGGATTTAGAAAAAAATTGAATGGGAGCAGACAACGAGGCCGACCATGAAAGTATTGTGAAGAAATAATATATAGACAGACCTATCAACACTTCAATTTATCAACTGGAAAGAGAAGGTCAAACACAGTGGTAACAAGAAGCGGTTGTTATTTGCAGTAATAAACCGCAATAGATCTGAATGCCAAACATTATAATTAAACACTAAAACAAGACCTATGTCCTTTGAGCCCTACGCTCTTCCTCTAGAAAGTGTAGAGGGTGGGCTGAGCGCGTCACCGCCTCTTCGCATCCGAAGGCTTCGTTTGTGAAGGTTCACCTGCCTGACTGAACAATCATGTAACCACACGCGTATCCTCACCTGCCTGACTGCACAATCATGAACCACACGCGTATCCTCACCTGCCTGACTGCACAATCATGAACCACACGCGTATACTCACCTGCCTGACTTTACAATCATGTAACCACACACGTATACTCACCTGCCTAACTTTACAATCATGTAACCACACACGGATCCTCACCTGCCTAACTTTACAATCATGTAACCACACACGTACACTCACCTGCCTAACTTTACAATCATGTAACCACACACGGATCCTAACCTGCCTAACTTTACAATCATGTAACCACACACGTATACTCACCTGCCTAACTTTACAATCATGTAACCAAACACGGATCCTCACCTGCCCAACTTTACAATCATGTAACCACACACGGATCCTCACCTGCCTAACTTTACAATCATGTAACCACACACGTATCCTCACCTGCCTAACTTTACAAACATATAACCACACACGTATACTCACCTGCCTAACTTTACAATCATATAACCACACACGCATACTCACCTGCCTAACTTTACAATCATGTAACAACACACGGATCCTCACCAGAAAGTAACGCCAGCTGTATATTAGGTATTGCTGCTTCAATTTTCTCCGTGGAGCTGATACATCCACCTATCAACGGCATGTCCAAATCCAATCTCATGAGCACTCGTTTGCCCACCAGATCACACTGATCAATGCTCAGTCTTCTCGCCGCTAGGCACAGCTGCAAACAACAATGTATGAAACAATCACACACACTCATTTATTTGCTAGGTAATTGTCAAAATGGGAGCCGTCGTAGTTACGTCCAAGGCTAGTACATTCAAACTTTTTCAAACTTGACCTTTGCTCCCATGTTGACCCAGCCTTAAATGGATGTTAGGTAAAGCCCTGGGAAGTAAAGGCGACCGGCACGATGTTGACTACACCACCCTTTGGTACTTAAAGCTTTGAGTCTAGCCCGATGAGCCATGCGCGTGAAAGGGTACTTTGCTTTACTTTATTTTTCTTTAAAAAAAAATGAGAAGTTGAGGGACCAAGCGTATTCACATCAACCATGCTGTTGAAGTCCATGCTGTTGAAGTCCATGCTGTTGAAGTCCATGCTGTTGAAGTCCATGCTGTTGAAGTCCATGGTGTTTGGCGTTGTTTCGTTGTGCCTGTCTTCTTTGACGTGTAGTGTAATTCATTTATGTCTTCTTGCACGTGTAGTGTCAATCATTTATGTCTTCTTGCACGTGTAGTGTCAATCATTTCTGAACTAGATATTCTTCCATGCTGTTTTCTCGGTTTCTTCATATCTGTCCCTACAACTGAATTTACCTCTACAAAATCTAGTTCTCTCCCCCCCCCCCCCCCCTCCCCTTTTATGACATGCCATGCGGATATTTAGCTCTGTTTGTTAGTCAGCTGCTTTCAGTACCCTTCACATGCACTTGTTTTCTTTATCGATTGAGTCTGTTCAGCATAAAATGTCATGCTTGTAATCAGGGAATGCGATCTGCCAACTTCCTTGTCGGTTTTGCGTGAAAATCTGTTTTCTTCCACATTGTTTCTCCGTGTGGCAAGGGGTCATGATGACTGGTCCTGCGCTGTATCCGCCATTTGCGTGTTTCCTGTGAATCTCTTGCCGGTATAACCCCGAGAAAGACTAGTCCTGATAAGGATTGTGTCGGTCTCCTCTGTGCCGTCTGGCTCGTTTCCTATCGGTTGGTGTTCATGTAGGGTGTGTGTCTTGTGTGCCAGCTGGCTACATTCTTCTTCATCCCTGAGGTGTTAATCCTGCGCACTGTAATCTTGGAGGAGACATCCTGCACTAGTGTATAACTGTTTTGTCTCATTAATACTCGCTCCCTACAGAGTGCACACATGGGCAGCCAGTTCACGCATCCAAGGACCGAGGCGGTCTCCATGGCGAAGGACTCAAGCCGTTTGCCTCGCCCTCTGAAAGTCGTAGGTTTGTTTTACTGATGTGTCGGTTGACTGACTGACTGACTTTCTACCCCACTAGGACATCACACAAGCGACAAACACCCGATGACACAAAGTGCCACCATGCGGATGAGGATCGCCGTGGAGAGGTCCCAGAAACCGCGTTCAGACAATTGGCCATATTAATGGCCTGCCTATATTGCGGCCCCTGGCAAAAGCCAGGGTGGGGCTTCAAATAACAAAAAATTTCGTCCTGAAAAGGACGAAAATGTGTATTAGTGTTTTTGTTTTTCTTCTAAAAGTCTCTAGTGTTTGCGGTTTTTGTTTTTTTCTACATGGCAGAGTCAGTCCTACCATGGCCATTGACCCGTTGAAACGTCTGGCTGAGCTAGTGCTCACTCTCAACTAGTTCCACTAGATCAGCGTCATCCCATGGGCACCAAGATGGGACCTAGCTATGCTTGCCTTTTCATGAGCTATCTCGTTCATCGGATGCCGCATGCATACACCGGTACACTCACCGAGCTCTACGGGGGAAAGGGGAGAGAATCGATAACTGCCTGGGTGTCAGCGATATGCCTCTGTCGGAACTGCAGGACTTCATTGAATTGTTTCCTCTAGCTTCCATCCTAGCATCCGACTCCCTTCCAACATTTGGCCGCCATCGTGCGCATGTTGAGGATGTCACCTGTACCTTGGACTCGTTGGTGTTTCTTCTATTGTGAAGCTGGCTGGTCTACTTTTCGTTCTGTTTTGTATCTTTTCATGATGTTGTTTCATGCGATCGTCACTGAAGCTTTAGAGTTAGTACTTTGCGCTATGCTGACGACAGGTAGATAGCCGTTCTGTAGAGACTGTCAGATAGGATAAAATCTCTTGCCTCTAAATCTGTCATAATGAAAATAAATTTACTTTTCCTAAACTGAAACATTGGACATTACCTTTCGTTTGGAACAGCCTTTTCCTTTCTCAAAAACAACTTTTCTGACAAGGATGTGGTCAACGCTGCTTCCTAGCCAATTTTGCAGCTCATCGCATGATGCCTTGGCCATTTCCTAGTGATAAAAACTCACGACAGTTGGTATGGTGAATGTTGATGTTTGCAGGTGTAGGTAACATGCAGGCAAAAGGTGGGTTTCTAAGAACTTGTGTATGAGCTGCAGAATTGTAATTTTGTAGAGAAATGATAATAGCTTCATGGACAGATAGAGACGTAAAGATGATGTCTCGGCAGTTACCAGCATCATGAACAGATAGAGGTGTAATGATGATGTCTCGGCAGGTACTTACATCATGTACAGATAGAGACGTAATGATGATGTCTCGGCAGGTACTAACATCCTGGACAGACAGAGACGTAATGATGATGTTTCGGCAGTTACTAACATCATGGACAGATAGAGGCGTAATGATGATGTCTCGGCAGCTACTAACATCATGGACAGATAGAGACGTAATGATGATGTCTCGGCAGTTACTAACATCATGGACAGATAGAGACGTAAGGATGATGTCTCGGCAGCTACTAACATCATGGACAGATAGAGGCGTAATGATGATGTTTCGGCTGTTACTAACATCATGGACAGATAGAGACGTAATAATGATGTCTCGGCAGCTCCTAACATCATGGACAGATAGAGGCGTAATGATGATGTCTCGGCTGTTACTAACATCATAGACAGATAGAGGCGTAATGATGATGTGTCGGCAGTTACTAACATCATGGACAGATAGAGGCGTAATGATGATGTCTCGGCAGCTCCTAACATCATGGACAGATAGAGGCGTAATGATGATGTCTCGGCAGTTACTAACATCATGGACAGATAGAGGCGTAATGATGATGTCTCGGCAGTTACTAACATCATGGACAGATAGAGGCGTAATGATGATGTGTCGGCAGTTACTAGCATCATGGACAGATAGAGACGTAATGATGATGTCTCGGCAGCTACTAACATCATGGACAGATAGAGACGTAATGATGATGTCTCGGCAGTTACTAACATCATGGACAGATAGAGACGTAATGATGATGTCTCAACAGGTACTAACATCATGGACAGATAGAGACGTAATGATGATGTCTCGGCAGTTACTAACATCATGGACAGATAGAGGCGTAATGATGATGTCTTGGCAGGTACTAGCTTACAACGGAAACTATGCATACCCAACGTGGCAATTTCACATTCGTGGTGCAAGATATAATAAAGGGAAAACGGGCCAATGCCCCGATAACAGCAAAGTTCAAGCAGAGGAGAAGCAGATCACTAACAACGGAGGAGACGTTAGCCTGAAGGAACATCTATGTCAGAAATAAAAAGACACCAGACAGACAGCTGTGTACAAACATAACCGCTAACAAAACGCGACACCTGATGTACGAACAAGAGAGTTGCTAAAACAATTAACTGGATCAAACATAGCTAAAGTATCTCCAATTGAGCATCTATAAATGTATCAACGACACAGTCGATGCATTCTCCCCCCATATATTTAAACTCAGGACAATGATGATAGGGAATTTCAAGTAGAACAACACGCACAGACAAACATACACTGACTACTAGACTAACACACGCACAGACAAACATACACTGACTACTAGACTAACACACGCACAGACAAACATACACTGACTACTAGACTAACACACGCACAGACAAACATACACTGACTACTAGACTAACATGCCCTCTACACCAATAAAACCAGCACAGTTAGATAGCTGTAAACAATCTCTTTCCAATGGTACCTCATTTAGGCTTGTATGTCATTTCTGAGCTGAGATATGTAGGTTTTTGTGGAGATGAGATGTAAAAAACAGCCGCTAAAACTTGTGACCCAGAAACAAGAAGTTTTTTACTGCGCAACCTACTGCGCAGTTCTGTATCGGCTTTGTTGACATTGGACTGTCATTGGACAAGATGGCAGGCAGTGAGACTCAGCTCACTTCACTCAGCCGCATGTGATTGCCTAAAAAATGTCACTGTAAATCTAAACAGCCAGAGTCGGGGAAAAAAATTTAATATGCAAATGTAAAATTGGACGGAGAATTCAATTGTAACTAGCATTACCACAACTGGTAATGTTTAAGCCTAAAGCCAACCTCGAATTTACCGCTATTTTCAATCAAACTGATAGACTAACAGAAAAACAGAGAATGTCCGGCTGTCGTAGACATGCGCTGTTAATCGGGTTCCTTCCCGCCGTTTTCTGCTATTTAGAGTGGGTGAAAATCACACCAATGGCAAAATTTCATGAGAGATTAGGACCCATCCCGAAACCCCAGCCGACATTTCCGAAACAAGTTTTAAACGGTTTCTATGGTAACGGAAATTGTCGAAAAGATAGCAAATTTCCGAAACTGTGGTACGTTTTGTGGATTATTCAAAAGCATTTGACTGTGTACAACATCAGAAGCTTTGGGAAATCATGAGGAATATGGGCTTTCCATCACATATAGTGCAGCTCATTAAAATGCTCTATCAAGACCAACAAGCAGCAGTCAGAATAGATGGAGAGACATCAGACTGGTTTGGCATCAAGCAAGGAGTCCGTCAGGGATGTGTGCTGTCACCGTATTTGTTCAACCTGTACGCCGAAAATATAATGAGAAATGTAAGAGATGATATAAACAAGGAACAATATGATGCCCTAAACATCGGTGGTCATGAAATACCAGAAATTCGTTATGCTGATGATACAGTATTACTATCAACATCACAAAATGGTTTAGAAAACTTATTAACCTCACTCCAAAGAAATAGTGAAAATCATAACTTATTTCTTAACACAGCAAAAACAAAGATAATGCATACAAACAAAACTGCCATGGAGAAGGAAATATATGTTAATGAGGAAAGATTGGAAGTGGTGGAAAATTTCGAATATCTTGGGTCACTGGTTACCAACAATGGTGACACAATGAAAGAAATTAAACGGCGACTATCAATTGCTCTTCAAAGACTAAAACAACTGAATAAATTATGGAATTGTACAGATAGAATTACAAAGGTCAGATTTTTAAGAGCATGCATCTTTCCCATTGCAACATACGCCTGTGAGACCTGGACACTTACTAAACAAGCGGAACAGCGCATAAATGCATTTGAATATAAATGTTACAGACAGGTTCTAAGAATATCTTGGGTAAAGAAAAGAACAAATGCATCCATACTTCAAGAGCTGAATATTGAAGAGGGTTGGCTAGTAAAGACAATAAAACAAAGAAAATTGAAATATTTTGGTCACTTGAAACGTCATGGAGGTCTAGAGAGAACAATAATGGAGGGGTATATGCCTGGGAAGAGAGGAAGAGGAAGGCCAAGGAGAAGATGGGTGCAGGATGTGGCAGATGATCTCCAGATGGGTGTATCAGACGCAGGACATCTTGCTCATGATAGGAAGGTTTTCCGGAGGGTTGTTATGGCAGCGAGGTTCCGCGAGGGACATGCTACTGAATGAATGAATGTGGTACGCATAAAACACAGTAATTTTGTCAGCATTTTAGCCAAGAAGAAGGGGAAAATCTATTCCCGACCTACAGTCTTTAATTGTCCTGTTCACTTCTGACCAGCGATTACTTGTAGGATGTCCTAGAAGCCCGCAAAGTGACTAAATGAACACAGCACATCAAATCGAATCTGCCAAAATGTCAGCAACATTACAACGTCCTCCATTTCTGCCCATATTTTGCTGACGCACTTCCTGCTCCCAGTATTAGGAACTCTATTTCTAATCGTAATATTGACATCTTAAAAGATCTGAACATCAAGGAAGATTGGCTAATAAACAGCATCCTTTCTCGAAAGCTGAAATATTTTGGTCATATTAAGCGCCACGACGGATTGGAAAAAATTATAGCAGAAGGCAGGGTACCAGGAAGGTGGGGCAGAGGCCGACCGACAAGAAGATGGGCACAGGATATAAGTGACTCCTTGAGTATGAAAGTGCATGAGGCGGGAGAACCGGCGAGAGACCGAGTTTCTTACAGGCAGACTGTGATGAGAGTGACTTTCTGCAAAGGACCTGCTACATGATGATGACTTCTAACGTAAAGAGAGCAACATAAAAGTAACATGTGAAGCAACAAATGTATCATATACCAGCCACCAATCGCTGGCTGTACAATTTAGAAATATAAAGGGCACTATATCCTTCAGTTATAACCTAGTGGGATTAACTTGATATTTTGAAAAGGACTGTTCCTGACTTGTGAACTGAATAGCAGCTGTCTTGCATTCACGTCTGGCAACCCTTCGCCTGGTTACATTGACATTAAAAACAAGTAATATCGCCCCGGGACTACCCCAGGGTTCTGCAATTTCACCGGTGCTCTTTAATGTGTAAACATGCAAGATTACAGAACTTGAAGTAACATGTGTTGGAAGGATATTGAAATTGTTGATGATGTTCTTGCATATAAGCAGGGTAGTAATAGGCAACAGATAGCCCAAGAGCTACAGGCAACTGTAACAAAGCGACTGACTGGAGTGCAGAAATGAGTGCTGTCTTGAACTCAGAAAAGGCGGCGGTTTTGTGGTGCTCTCTGGACAACAGAATTGTAAAAGCGGCTTTTCCAAACCTCACAATTATTAACAGAAACATCAAAACAGAAAGCAAACTGGATATCATTTTCGATAAAAGCCTGTCCATCAGGTATCCCATGGAGGCACTTGCGGTGAAATGAAGACATGGGGGTAATTCTTGGATCTACAAGAGAAATCCCGGTAGTATGTATGCGATATATACTTGCACTGCCTACTATTGCAATTGGCTCAATCATGTCTCAGAACAGTTGCAGACAAGAAGCACCTCCTGGATGAAGCCCTAGGTAGAGCTAAGGGTCACAGATTGGCAAGAGGAAGGTCTTAGATGGCGCAAGCTGAAGACACAATCGTTTCAGACTTGTATAGGGTTCTTATCACTTTGAGTAGTAAGTGCAGGGACTGGCCAGCTAGTGCTGCAGAATCAGATGTTCAACAAATAATTCTCAACAGTTCCCGCCCAGGTGATGTGATTATCTATACAGATGGCTCAGTGT